CCCTGCTTGTGTTCCCTCTCTTGCTGTGTCTCTCTCTGTCAAATAAATAAATAAAATCTTAAAAAAAGAAAGAAAGAAAGAAAAGCCAAAGAAGGCTTACTGGGTCCCGTAGGCAATCAGTGTGAGTGGGTTAGAGGGTTCATGCATGGAGTGAGTGGAAATGAGGCTGGAGAGGCTCATGCCAGACTGTGGAGCCCATGAGTGCCACACTAAGGAGTTGGAATCTTTCCGTAGGCAATGGCGAATCCAGGGAGGCTTTTGAGGAAAAGGTCACCGGGATGAAAGTGGCATTTTGGAAAAATCATTCCAGGGGTGGTACAGTGGGGGCATTGGACTGGGGAGAGACTAAGGGCAGGATACCCGGAAGAACGATTTCACAGGAAGAATCAACAGGGTTAACTAGATGCAGGTGGTAGTAAGAGAGAGGGAGACATCAAAAATGATTTTCAAACTTTGAATATGGGTTTCCAGTGACAGAATCTAAAACCACACAAATTGCCTAGGGAAAATTATTTGGGAAGGAAGACGATTATTTTAGACAAGGTAAGTCTAGAGTTAGTATGGGACAAGCCAACTAAGAAGGCCCAACACAGCACTAGAAATGTGAGTTTGGGGTGTGGAAGGCTAAGGTAATGAGTATACGTTTTGTCATGTATTTAAATGGAAAATATGCCTGAAGCCCAAGAAGTCACATTCTCTGGAGTCCTGTAGAAGGAAAAATGGAGAGAGAAAAGAGCAAAAAGCTAAAGATTGAATATCAGGGCATTTCTGCCTTGGAGGACAATAGAGAAAAATGAAGTCAAAGAAGGAGATGGAAAATGAATGGTCAGAGGTTAGGAGGAGAAGTGAGGTGTCACTGAATCCATGGGAGGGTTTCATAGAAACCTCCCCCAAGTTCAAGGAAAAGTCGCCATAGAAACAAAGATCAATGAATTAGGCGATCACCCTGTCTTAAAGGTCCGTGCAAAGCAAGAGAGCTTGGAAAGGAACCTTCAGGCCTCAAAGCAGGACAGCCTAGCCTTGTGCCATCTACTACATGACCACCTATAGCTACTGACCGGGAGTGTGCCTAGTCAAATTGGGACATGCTGTAATCATAGACGACATACTGGATTTCAAAGAAGTAGTATAAAAACAAAGAATGTGAAAGATCTCATTAATAAAATTTAAATATTGATTCCATGTTGAAATGATAATATTTTGAATATATTGGACTAAATAAAATATGCTACTAAAATTATTTTCACCTTACAAATCTTTAAATATGGCCACTAGAAAATGGACTCACATTAATATTTCCATTGGATTTTGCGGATCTAGACCTTCGTAAGGAAGCTCACTAATTCAGGCACTGATATAGCTCAGGGAGACGCACCACTCACATATGCTTTAACAGTTAAGTGCATTTCTACTCCATCCATCCAGCCTGAAATCTTTTAGAATGTGTTTTGCATTTTGTGAGTGTAATTCCTGTAGTTTGTGACCAGTGTATATTGCAGTGATCCGTTTGTTTATTTTATCCCAAACTTAAGTTATTCCATCTTACTGAACATTTGGCTGTTTTTTAATCAACAGATGATGGTGCAGGTGACAGCCACAAAACTTACACTCTAACTGATTATTTAAAAAATACTTTTAGGATGAAATTCTACTCCCTGCGTTGGATTTCAGGTAAGGACTTTTTTGGGGAGGGGACAGATTTTTATGCTTATGCTCCTTCTAGTTAGGTTGTGGGGCACCTTTGTTTTGTTAAACCATATGGGAAAGTATTTTTCTCTGCTTACAGGTACAAAGGAAAATAAACCTTAGTATTTCTTTGTTGCGGATTATAAAAAGTTAAAAGTGAATTGAAACTTTGACAATAATGATGGGAAAATGAATGCATACTAATGTAATATTCATCACTTAATGTTTTTCCAACTTAGAAATGCTTATTTAGTACTTGTGTGAGCTTAAACCTTAAGTTTTTTTCTGTATCATTTTTAGCTTATGAAGACTTTTAATCACAACTTGAAATACTGATCCAGCCATTTTCTTTCTTTAGATCAGGAATACCTCTACAAACAAGAAAATAATATCTTGCTATTCAATGCTGAATACGGAAACAGCTCCATTTTCCTGGAAAACAGTACATTTGTATGTTTGATTGCATAATTCATGTATATGCTAAGGAAATGCTGAGGATTTTTATTCATAACCTTTCAAATCATGAGTACTATCATTTCTCATCATGTTGAACTCTCTCTGCAGCATATGACACAGTGGATCTTTCTCTTCTTCTTGGAATGCTCCCTACCTTGGCTACCTTTTAGTCTCCCTTGACGATTCCTCCTCCTCTGCCCATACTCCTAAGCGTAAGTGCCCCTCAGGGCTCTGTCTTCCCTTGCTGGCTTCTTCCGCAGTTTGCCTGTTCTCCTTCAGTGAATTTCATGCACTCAAAGCAACAGGGCTCTCCTGTCTGGCCTTGATTCTCAAATGCACACTTTCAACACTAACCTCCTGCCAAGATCAAAATCTCTTTCTAATAGCTTGCTTGCTCCTGGCCCACCCATGGCCTGCCGGTATTTTAAACTCAGTATCCCAAGCCCAGCTAGTTATTTCCCCTTTGCTCTCCTAGCAAACCGAAAGCACCCCATTCCTCTTCCTGAGTTCCCAATCTTGGTAAAGTATGCTCCCCTCCAAGTCACTTAGGCTAAAAAGTGAAATTCTACTCCTTGAATCCTCAGAATCCTCCTTGATTCCTCTGCCATCCCTCATATTTAGTTATTCAACAAACCCTATCACTTCTCCCTCTGCAATGTTGTGTCCCTCGGATTTCTATTTCCGCTGTAGAGTCCTGGTTCAAGGCCTTTTTAATCTGTGTTAGTACTCTAGTACTTGTGTCCCTATCTCCATTCTGTAGAGGAGACCACTGGGTTGCCCAGGTCCAGGGCTGATGCAACCCCTCTCATCGCATGTCTGCCACCATGTCCCAGAGCATCTTTGTAAAGACAGATAAGATTCTATCACATCCATGTTCAAAAAGTGGATTAAAGTTCCACTTCTTATATTTCAGTCCCAGCTATTCTTCTAGTTTTTACGTCCTCTTTTATATGCTGTCTGATGTACCCTATATTGTACTCAGGACACACATGCCCTTTCCTACATCTGGTTTTTCGCTCATGCTCTTCCCCCTCTCTCTCTTCCTGATCCCTACCCTCATGGCCATCTTTCCTTGCTTAGATTTAATTCTTCCCTCCCTGGTTCTCTAACCCTGATCACCATACACCTTGCATCATGGTCATTTGTGTGGGGGAATGTGACATTTCTGGTAGCTCCCAAGGCATGAGCCACCTGTCTGTCTAGAACCATACCCTCTACATAGTAAGTGCTCAGTAATGACCGTTAAATGAAATTGTTCCGTTGTTCTTTTTTCTACTTGCTTGACAGGAGGAATTTGAACACTCTATAAATGATTATTCGGTATCTCCTGATGGACAGTTTATTCTCTTAGAGTACAACTATGTGAAGGTAAAAGAAATGCTATCTTACTGTGACATTTAAAGAATCCTATGAGTTACTTTATAATTGATTTCAAGTCCACAAATATTTAAGATTGACACCTAAGTACAAGTGACTCTTAACAACAAACTGAGGGTTGATGGAGGGAAGTGGGTGGGGGATGGGCATTAAGGAGGGCACTTGTGATGAGCACTGAGTGTTGTATGTAGGTGACGAATCACTAAATTCTACTCCAGGAACCAATATTGCACTATATGCTAACTAACAGAATTTAAATTAAAAAAAAAAAAAAAAGATTGACACCTAGGTAATATAATAGGCACTAAAAACTCATTAATTCAGCATCAAAAGAAGAAATAGCCATTCTCATTCATAAAAGGTAGGTCCAACAACTGGTTTAAAAGAAATTCATTTTTAGTGTTTTCAAATGCTAAGAAGTGTAAGTAATATAGATACTAAAAGCATAAGTTAATAAAAGAAAACTTACAATTTAAAAGCAAGCTTACATGTCTGACTTGCACAGCCAGTAATAGAACCCCTTATTTCCTTTGTCTCAGCTTTACATAAAATAAAACTCTCAATAAGTATTTGCCTTAAAAAGATTTATACTTCTTATCCTCCAGAAGAGACTCTGCAAGGTGACTCAGACCACCTTACAACCTTTGGGTCCTACCATATACAAACCATTCTCAAGGGGGACCCTCAGCCCAACATCAGATTCTCACACCTCAGGAAAGCTTAATCACATATCCTCTTCATGGTTAGGCTGGCTGCAAAGCACCAGCAGCTTTAACTGTAGCTTTTTAATTATTCCTGGATTTGACAACAGTTGTCAAGTATAGGAAGTTTTGAGACTTGTAGGAAACGTTAAAACCCTGTAGGGATATTCTGCATTGAACACAAAATATAAAGCTGGGGATCCCCACCTCTGCCTTTTTATTCTAGAATAAATAATAAATGCTGAGGGGCCTTATCTCGCACCCCAACACTTCTATACTCAGGCCAAGCAAACCATCTCCTACTCCATTTCCCGTTTCAATGTGGTGACTTTCAATCATAATATTTACCCTGGATTCACTGTGTCTAGCTCCATTTCCTGGACACGAAGACTCTGACTCTATTCTACTAAACCTATCAGCTAGGAGCCAGTCCGAATCCTAGGCCAACTTTAACACATCTGTTCCCAATTAATGGATTGTTTATTTAATTCAGTGGTTTTTATTGCTGTCTCGAGATTAAAATCACTTGATTAGCTTTTAAAAATTCCCAGTGGCCAGGTCCAATCCCCAGATTAATAAATTATAGCCTCTGGAGTGAGGCTGACATCATTTTTTTTTAATGGGTAGATTATTTGAATGATCAACCCGGGTTGAGAACCACTGAATAATAATTTCCCATGTTCAGGACAAACTTAGAAAGATGATGAGGTTAAGGTAGAAACAGAAAGGTAAATACCAGCTCAATTTACTCTTTGGCCAAGTTCAGTAGGTGTCATATGATGTTTACTAATGGATGATTTCACTGGTAGACCGTAGTTGGACAGCCATCATTGGTAATTTGTATTTGTGGTGTCACTGGAGTTTCCATGCACATTTAACTGCTTTTGCTGTTTTCGTGCTATTCCGTCATCCCACCGCCGTCCATGCTTTTCAGACAGTACCCATAGTGCTCCTTTTAAAACTTAAGTTAGGTTGTATCATGCCTATGCCTAACCCCTCATGATCAGAATAAAACACAGACTCTAACCACAGCATCGTCAGAAGCCTGTGTGATTGGACCTCAGTCCGCCCTTGCTAACCCATCATCTATTACCCTCTCTGGACTCACCGTGCTTGGCCAGTGCTTCTCACCCCTGCCTGAACCTTGCAGTTACCTATGGAGGTTTTTAAAAATGCAGATGCCTGCAGCCTACCCCACACCAACTAGTTCAGTGCAGTGATGGGGGAGGCGGGGGCAGGCATGGGCTCCCCCCATGATTTAAGGACTCCCAGGTGATTCAGTGATCCAAGAATCTCTAGGGGCACCACTCTTTAGTTTTCTCAAGCATCGTTCATTCCCATCTGAGGGCCAAAGTATTTGCTATTGCTTCCTCCTGGAACCTTCTTCCCCTGTTTATCTAACAGGTTCACTTTTTAGTAATTCAGGTATAAGCTTTCTCAGATTGCTTTACCTAACTTTGCACCCTGCCACTCTGTTCTCCCACACGCCACCATTCACTCTCTTTCACATTAGCTTATTTTACTCTCTTCATATCTTTGATTGCAGACAATCTTCTATTTTCTTCTATTTTACTTCTTAGAGGATTTTCTGTACAGCATACATGTGCAACTTACAATAATTTCTACTCATTGCCTAATGCTCCAGCATTAATCATAGTTGCATCGTCTTTCACATGCTTACAATATTCCAGTTGACTTATCAGTTCTCAATAAACCTATCCAGAACAAAGAAAAGTCTAGTCTTATTCTATTTCCTTGGAGGTCTACTGTGCAAAGTTCTTTAGATTCTACTCCATGGCTTTTCCATGACAGAGTTAGTGCATTCAGAAAGAGCAATATTACTTCTACGTTGTGGCTACAAACAAGTAAGTGAGCACGTGAGTGAAAACATAAATAAGGACCCTACAGCCTGGTATGGATGTTCGCCCAGCACGTCCATTCACTGCTGAATGCCCCCGAGATAATGGTTGCATCAACTGTGACATGTGGACAATATTCTAGGGCCCTCCTTAGCAATTCACATATATTCTCATGAACCTCTCATGAGACTGTTGCTGACATTAGCCCATTTTCCTAGGAAGAAAATTAAAGCTTAGAAAGAAACCTGCCTGATATTAACACAGTGAAGACTTGTCTTGGTCTATTTAAGCTGCTACAACAGAGTCCCATAGACTGGGTGGGTTACTAACACATTTATTTCTTAGAGTTCTGGAAGCTAAGAAAGAAATCCAAGATCAAAGTGCTAGCAGATTCAGTGTCTGGTGACATCCCGCTTCATGGAACATAGTTGAACCTTCTTCTCCATGTCCTCAAATGGAGGAAGGGGTGTGGAGTATTTTGGGAGTCTCTTTTATAAAGGAACTAATCCCATTCATGAGAGCCCCACCCTCATGAGCTAGTTACCTCCCAAAGGCTCTACCTCTAATACCATCACACTGGGGGGTTAGGATTTCAACATATGAATGGTGGGGGGCGGGCAGCATACATTCAGTGTATAGCCAGACTTGAATCCAGGTTAGAAGACTCCAAAGCTTGTGCTCTTAAGCATAATCTTTCCCAACTTTGTGCTTCAGTGTCTCTCTGCTATGCTTTTTTAACCCCTTCCCCATGTGGCAGTTCTCTGCTTTGAGACTCAGTCTAACAATCAGCTTTTCTGTAGACCTTTCTCCCTCCCCAAGGCCTCATTTATGATTCCTGCCTCTCCCCACTTACCTTTGTTATACGTCTTGTGATTCTTTTCTTGTATTTACTTGCCCATATCCCCATTCAACTATGAGCTCCTCAAAGAGAGAGAGAGTGAGCCTGTCTTATCCAGTAATGCCTGACAGAGGATAGTTGCCAGAGTTTCTAACCTAAATAGATGGATGAGTCTGTTTCAAAAGATGAAGTGAACATACCAAACATCCTTTTGTAACTCATGATGGATCTGTTGTCCTGAGTGATCTCAAACCTTCTCAAACATCTTAATATTTTTAGCCTGTAGCACACCTTTTGGCTCTTACAAGTAGAGCATTCAGAGGTTTCCCAGAAACAAGCATGGATTGTGTGAAAATAATCCAGGATTTAAAAAAAAAAATGTATGACTTGCAAAAAGTAAGGCTTTAATACATAATTACTGACATGAGAGAATAAGAGGATGATAAATGACAAGTGGGAAATACTCTTCAAGGTTAGAACCTCTGGCTTGTGTCTAAGCTCTGTCATACACAAGCTGGGTACCTTGGCTACCCATTTCATCTACTTCATTTTCATGGGTAAAATTTATTTTTTATGTTAGTTTGGTTTATTTCTTGAACAGAGACTATGTGGCTTACTCTAGACAAGACTTCATAGATTTAAAGACACAATTTCTTACATCTAGGATTATGGTAGGGAAGACAGACATGAAGACATGTCATTTCTTTTAAAATATCTTTAATGTATAAATGCATCCACATATAAACATAATTTTTCATAAATGCAAATCTGTATGTGTATATATATGTACATATATATATATAATCTTCAGTCTTATCTTTTTTCCCTCTTATGCCTGGCTCCCTACTCCTCACCCCCCCCCTTTTTCCCTAAGTATCACATGTTAAGAACCTAGTATATATCTCTCCATATTTTAAATTTTCCCCCTTATTCAAATAATTCTATGAAGATATTCTTTTAGTCATTGCTTATTCTATAAAAAATAAAACCCTATTTTCCATACTTTTCTGTAATTTGCATTTCTCAATGATTCCGTGTGGAACTTCTTCCAAGTTATCTGGCATAGCTCGAATTCATTTATTTCTAAATTAATAGACTTAATTCTTTTTAGAACAGCTTTAGATTTACAGAATATAAGTGGAAAATACAGAGTTCCCACATACTCCCTCATCATCCCCCCCCACTTCTGTCCCAGTTTCCCCTATCATTAACATTTTGCATTAGTAGGGTACATTCGTTACAATTGATGAGCCATTATTGATATGTTATATCCAACTAAAGTCCATAGTTCTCATTAGGTTGTTGTCTCCAACAATCCTAATGTTGTCATACATTCTATGGGTTTTGGCAAATCTATAATGTATAATGACATGTATCCACCATTCCAGTATCATGCAGTATATTTTCACTCCAGCTCTTCATCCCTCCCTTCTTCCAAACCCCTAGCAACAACTGATCTTTTGACTGTCTCCGTAATTTTGCCTTTTCCAAAATGTCATATGGTTGGAATCATACAATATATAGCCTTTTCAGATTGGCTTCTCATGTGGAAATATGCATGTGAGGTTCCTCCACGGCTTTTTGTGATGTAATAGCTCATTTCTTTTTATTGCTAAGTAATATTCCAATGTCTGGATGGACCACAGTTTGTTTACCCATCACCTATTGAAGGACATCTTGGTTCTTCTAAGTTTTGGCAGTTATGAATAAAACTAAAAATTTGTGTAGAGGGTTTTTGTATATGTTTAAGTTTTTAGTTCATTTGGTTAAATAACAAGGAGTTTGCTGATAAAGTTATTTGGGTTTGGAGTTTCCTTTGTGCAAATGCTTTTATTTATTGATTCAATATGTTTTTTAGATATAAGACTATACAGATTTTCCATTTTTTCTTGTCTGAGTTTTGATAAATTGTTTTCCAAGGAATTTGTCCCTTTTTAAACTTTTAAATTTATTGGCAAAACAATGTTTATAATAGAGTCTTAAAACCTTTTAATCCCATTTTAATCCCATTTTTCGTTTCTGTTATTGGTCATTCATACTTTTCCCCCCTCCCTCTTACTGCATTAGCAATTTTCAAAGAACCAGTTGGGGGCTTCGTTGATTTTTCTTTATTGTGCATTTTCTATTTGATTACTAGTTTTACTTTTATTATTTCTTCTCATTTATTTGGATTTGGTTTGATTTCATTTTTTAGATTCTTGAGAATATCAATGGCATATATATATATATTTCAGTGTTAATATATATTGTCAGGGGGGTTTTTTGTTTTTTGGTTTTTTGGGTGTTTTTGTTTGTTTGTTTGTTTGGCAGGTGGCTTTCAAAAAATCTGTAGCGCTTTATATTTTCATGATCAAAGTAGGAAAGTAAGCATTTCTCCACATCACCACCAGCAATAGAATTATAGATCCTTTAAAGATTTTGTCAGTAGGTTGGTTGAAAAGTATAAAATTTGTATTTTCGGGGCGCCTGGGTGGCTCAGTTGTTAAGCGTCTGCCTTCATTCAGCTCAGGTCATGGTCCCAAGGTCCTGGGATTGAGCCCCGCATCGGGCTCCCTGCTCAGCGGGAAGCCTGCTTCTCCCTCCCCTGCTCCCCGCTGCTTGTGTTCCCGCTCTCGCTGTGTCTCTCTCTGTCAAATAAATTTAAAAAAACTTTAAAAAATAAATAAATACATAAATAAAATTTGTATTTTCTTAGACAGGTGGATTTCCCATGCTATGGTAAATGCTAGGAGTGATGTTTGCCATGAAGCAAACACATCAGCCCACTGTGACCCTGAGAAGTTTCCTTGGCAGGGGTGATGCCAGAGCGAGGTTACAGATGAGGTCCAGAGGACTTGGTACTAGATGGTCTCTAAGAATCTCTTCCTAATTCCAGAATTCTAAGGATTGGGATAGGATACAAGACATGATAAGATGTGAGAATTATACAATGTCATATTACTTTACATCTCATCTTGTGCTCCTATAGCAAGTGGCCAAACTATCAAGAATCACAGAAGTCTGAGATGTCTGTTTTCTTTTATAGCAATGGAGACATTCTTACACAGCTTCATATGACATCTATGACTTAGCTAAAAGGTCAGTGACTTCCTTATAAAATCTATTAAGCTTCTTTAGTGTAATAACATTTTTTTAAAAGAAATCCTACTGTGATTTATTCATTTGGTAATGTTTCCTTTTATCTTTTTTTCAGGAGGCTGATTACAGAAGAGAAAATTCCAAACAACACACAGTGGATCACATGGTCACCAGAGGGTCATAAATTGGTTAGTGAGTCTCTTCTGTTGTCAGAAAAAAATAATGCTCAACGCTATCACATGCAGAAGCTACATACCCTGATACAGAGCAGACACTTAGGAAGCAAATACTTCACCATCAGAGATCGCGTTATTGCCTAAAATAGCATTTTACTAGTCTAACACAGTAAATAGGATTCCTGAAAGTTTCTGAACTACGACTGGGGAATTCTTTATTTACTGGAAAAATGCCCATTTAACTCCTAAATTCTAATTTCTGTTGTATTCGGTTTGCTGTTTTTGCTTGTTTGTTTGTTTGGGGGGGCATATCTGCTTCCTGCTAGTTCTGTGATCTCTGTGTCCCTGTAGATATACGTTCGTGTTCTTCCTTCATGTTCTTAGTGCTGGGAGACTGTCAGAAGTCCAAAAGAATCTGAACAGGAAGACGGGATGTTCATTTGTAGATGGAATTCTCCCTCCTGACCTCGAAAGCACTCCCTCAACTCACCGCCCCCAGAAAGCAATGGGAAGCACACATTAATTCTGTAGAAATGGTCAGACTCCTGGGTCTTTGCAGGCACTCTAGCATTCAAATAGTGCTGTTTGTGAGCCGCTTCTTTTTAATATATTGAGTGTCTTTAGAATTATTTGGAAGTTATAGCTTGTACACTTATAATTTTAAAAATGTGAGGGGTGGGGCGCCTGGGTGGCTCATTCTGTTAAGCGTCTGCCTTTGGTTCAGGTCATGATCCTGGCTGGAGTCCTGGGATTGAGCACCCCCCCCCACCATTAGACTACCTGCTCGGTGGGGAACCTGCTTCTCCCTCTCCTTCTCTCCTACTCCTCCCCTTGCTTGTGCTCTCGCTCTCCAATAAATAAATAAAATCTTTAAAATATATAAATAAATAATGTGAGGGGGCTAGTAAATGACTTTTCTTGCTCAAATTGAATAGCCCAAGGTAATCATTACATTTGCATACCAATATTATATGAGGATAAGACAGTTGATAGATATCTTTTAACTCCAGGATAAGATATGTTATAACAGGTTATTACTTACCAATCTGTTTTTCAATATTTCTAGGCATATGTTTGGAACAATGATGTTTATGTTAAAAATGAACCAAATTCATCAAGTCAGAGGATCACATGGACGGGGGAAGAAAATGTAATATCCAATGGAATAACTGACTGGGTTTATGAAGGTAGAGACTTTAAAGCTTTTTCAAATTAGAAAATCTATAAGTTGTTGTTTTTTTTTTTTAAGTAGCTAAACATTTCTCTTAAAATGGAGAAATCCAATGGCATTCAAAATAAGTTGCATTTTTTAAAATGATATCAAATCTCTTTAGCACTCACAATACCAGGTGTCTCCCAGAACAAGGATTTCCTAGCAGTAGCTGGTTTCACCTATGTCCTCATTGTCTCTCAATGCCCCTATTGTCTTCTGTCTCCTACAAAGGGCCTTTCTGTGTAGGTAGCTTTTCTGCTTTACTGGGGCATAAAAGCTTCCAGATTAACATCAGATGTTTCTCTAACGGGGCCTACCTAACCCAGAGTTACTAAGGAAAATTAAATACTCCCACAGCATTCCAAGAGCTGACAAAATATTGTCTGGAGGTTGGGGAATAGAGGGGGAAGAAAGCATCTGTTTTACAGAGGATTTGTGTTCATTTGAACTTGGACAAATCATAATTTCCTATTTTTAAAGAAGGAAAAAATAATTCGAAAGGCTTCTGGGGGAAAAATCAGTACAAAAAAAAAACAGAACTAAAAATATTAAAAAGGATTATTCTCTCTTTTAGGATAGAGTCTTAGAAAATATTAGAGAAACATTTTTCACGTCCATAGTTGCCAAAGTAAAAGGCATTTTTGAGGCTGTTCCAGACTGTTCACAAGGTTGCCTAATGCTTATTAAGTACTCATCCTTATTTCATCCTCTTATTTCTTCCTCATAGTTAAAAGGAAAAAAAAAGTTTTTCTTCATGACTTAATTTTGGTTCTTACCCAGTTCAAGTCAGGTTCAATTAAATGGCCTAACATTGTAACAACAACAACAACAAAAATCACTTTAAAAAAAAAGATAAATCCCCACGGCCCAGAAATAATATATAATGAAATTTACTAGCGCTCGTCACTTAGCAATTGAAAAACATCTTTAACGCTTGTTGGACAGCACAGCACAACCTGTAGGAGCCCCAAAGGGACCTGGATAACGCCTCTTCCCAAAGCTGCAAGTCGACCCCTCCTCGAAACATCTGAGTGTCTCTAGGATAAGAACACACCTAACACTATTAGTCCTTTCTCAGGTAGTTAAGAGCTGGAAAGATCTCAGTTTGCATGTTAATGACAAACAGAAGAATGGCTTCCCAGTTCCAGTGTGGGCCTGTCTCTAAAAAACAGGACTTTGGTTCCTATGGGGAAGTTCCTATAATTGGTTTTATATATTTATGAATGATCCATACTTGGAAAGGGCACACTCGTGTCTCCATATATGAGATCCACCCTCCCATGGAGTGTCTCCACTGCAGCCATGAAGACTTGTTGAGTATAGGACTGAAAGAGTACATTTTGAGAATCCGTAGGTTCATAAGTAAAAGAAGAAACAAAGCTGCAAGGTCCAGACAGGGCCATGTGCCACATCATGGAGGGACACTCATAGAGCAGCCTACAGTCTGGGACGTGTGTCCCCTGCCCCACCCCAGGTTCCCAAATGACTTTCTCTCTCAATGTCTCGATGTTTTCACTTTGTCTTCTTTCATGATTTTCTAACTGATTATTACTTTAGTTAACAAGTGCCTTCTTTTGTAAAAATCATAATACTTTATCTCCTAGTATGAAGTTAATCACGACATTCACTCTTTTTTTTTATTTATCAAATAAGGTTTATTTTTTTTCTTTTTCAAATTTTTTTAATTATGTTATGTTACATTACATAATAGTTTTTGATGCAGTGTTCCATGATTCATTGTTTGCGTATAACACCCAGTGCTCCATGCAGTACGTGCCCTCTTTAATACCCATCACCGGGCT